TAAGAGAGAGATAAACATAGGAAAAAAAATTTAATTAAATTTTAAATTAAAAAAATCATCTATTTTCTCTCTTCCATGATTTCTTTTTTTTTTTTTGTCTATCTCTATCTTAAAATGACATAACTTATCTCATTTAAAATGAAAAATACTATTTATAAAAAAAAAAAAATGACAAACACGAAACCCTAATTTTTTTATTTTATTGATTTAACGATGATCATCCAAAGTACTCATTGTAAGGAGATATTATTTTTATATTTAAGGAAAACGTGAAAAAGAAATTCGATTACAATCAAAATGTACTTATTTTACTTTGTCTTTCTTTTCTTTTTTAACAAATTGTTTTCTCTTTCATTCATCGAAATCACATTCAAAAAGAAGAAAATCTTCAATGTACCAAAAATATTAGTGAGATGTTTGGTAGAGAATAATTTTTTTTATCTGAAAATCACGATTCCCGAGAAATATGGTTAAAAAGTGAATTTTCTGAAAATGTTACTAAAATGTTATTTGATAAGTCAAAATATTCACATAAATGTTAGATTAATTTTCTTGATGCTATATTTGGTTGATTGTAAAATATTGTTGGGAAAATGGATTAAGGTTAATTATGTCCAAAAAATTTATCAAATATTCCTATTATATGGGATTCGCAAAATACCATCCATTTTGTGTTATTTTAAGATAGAATTTTTCTTCATTAATATGAATAATGGGAATCCGACTTTTCCGAATTTTTTTTTTACAATTTTTGTACCAAACGTGGGTAAATCGAATTCCCAATATCAATTTCCCAAAATTTTAAATTTTTCACTTTTACCAAACACCCTGAGTTCGTTTCGATGTATGCTTTTAAAAAAAGTAAAAGTCATAAGAAATCCAAAAAATTAATTTTTTTGAAAGCTAAAAATTATAGTTTACAAAAAGTAGAAGTCAAAAATCAAATATTTCTTAAAAAATTTAAACTATTTAAACTTTTATTAAAAAATACTTTTAAAATAAGTAAGATATAAACAGAACTTTTTTGAGAAGGCAATCGAAGGACTCTTAATTTGATGCTTTTTTTACTAAATAAAAAAATATTTTTTACTGCTATTTATTAAATTTCTTTTTAAACCCTAAAAATTTCTTATTTAATAAAAAAGAATATCGAATTCGGTGCTCTACATTTAGAGGTGAAAGTGGGCTGGGCTGGGCCAAGCTTTGTCCCGAAAAGCCGAAGTCTACGCAAAATTTTTTTAATTTGGTCTGACTCAAGCCTAATACGAATCTAATTGTTAGCCTGACTTGACCCGTTTATAAAAAAAAACAAATGGTCTGTCCTAGCCTGTTAGCCTGTTAATTTTTAACTTCCAAGCATAACTATGAATCAACATTACAAAATACTCAAATTCTGTTGCTAAAACAAAAATCATAATTTCAATGTCCAAACAGAATCATGAATCACAACAAAACTCATACAATCTGCATTTAAGTCATTTTCAAAAACAAAATGCTCAAACTAAATAATATATATTTCATCATATCCAACAAACAAATTCATACTATGTAAATTAAAATAACTTCATGAATCCAACAAACACTTCATGATGCTTGCAGTAAATATAACTTCTCCCAAAAACCTTTTAATATATTCATATACACAATTTAACATGCTGAGATGTTGGTTCCTCCTACATAAAAAATAAATTCAGATTTCTATTAAAATATAATTAAGTTATAAATAATCAGAATTGATTAAATTTATATCTTTTGTTTTTTTTGAAGACATACTTATTATATTTTATTTTATTTAAAATACGTAATATAATATAAGCCGACTTATAGACCAGACTTTGTTAAAGTAAACCTACGACCTTTTTTTAAACAAACTTTTTCAAGATTCAAATCTAACCTATTTTATAAAATATGCTAAGTAGGTCGAGCTGGCCAATTTCACCCATACGTGCATTCAAGTTTTTCTCGTGAAAAGGATGACCGGCTATTGCTGAACAGCACTTTACAAGACACAATAACGGCTTCCGTTATCATCGTTGGCATAACTGTACAATCATGTCAAAGTCAAAAACTTCGGCGAATAGTCGCCGTTAACCACGCTATTCTCCAAATAAAGCTACAAAGTAAGATATTATAAACTCACGTTTTATTCTTGCGCGTGTAAAACACGTTTCACTTTGCACTGTAGGATACGACAACAGCTCAGTTAGAACAGCATATTGTGACCACGCACGAGCAAGTGAGGTTTTCAACGTCGACGCTGACGCAGTTGTGTTCAGGCCTGATATGCATGTACGATAATTATGTTTATGTATGTGCATGTGACCCAGCCCCCGGCCATTCATCCTCAATATCAATTAATTTTAAATTTAATTTTTAACCTCCTTCTTATTATTATTATTATTATTATTATTATTATTATGACAAGGCTTAAAACATCACCTAACATGGTATTTCCAAAAAAAAAAAAAAAAAACATCACCTAACATGAGATCAAATTAACTCACCATAAAATATGATTTGAATCTAACTTAAAAATAAATTAAGTAAGTCAATTTATATAACCAAAATAATGCTATTAGTTTTTAGCTGAGTAAATTATTTGGACAGTTAAACTTATATACAAATATACAATCTTAAAAATATCAATAAAAACATTAATGGTTACTGGTTAGGTACAATTTTTTTATTTTTTTTGGTAAACTGGTTAGGTACAATTTAATTGCATGCTAAATAAGACAACTCATTCTTATAATGAAGAGATTTAATATACAAATGAAAACTCATTATCACAATATGAAAATAAAATCTTGAATTTTACGTTAACAAAAAAGGGTATATTATATTTTCTTACTTTAAATAAAATAATTTATTATGTTACTCCTTGTTTACTACAAGAGTGATGGATGATTTTTTCTATGACTTGATGTAGAGAGATCAATAAGGATTCTGGTTTGATCGCTCAATCAGTAAGGGTGTGGTATATGACTAGAATGTATTATGCAATTAAAAGGCAAGAATTCTACATTTATTAATACAGCGATAGGAGGTGGATTATACCGCCACTAAGCAATTGTTTATTTAAATGAGGTGAGTCCTGCAGAATTGGGTTGGCTATGACCCCAACACCTGACCTATGGCACTCTTTTTATTATAGTGTCACCTATATCTTTTTTTTTTTTTAGTTTATTTAGTTTAATTTATAGTTTTTTATATAATTGTTTGTATTGCACGATACAGTGTAATACAGAAGTTGTGCAATACGATATAATACAAATGTTTTGCTGTACAAATCGGTGGTTGTGCGATACAATATAACACAAAAGCTATGCGATACAAATCAGTTGCCTGTATCGAAATTGACGATTCTGTATTTACTATATGGGTTTTATAAGAGTTATGTTATAGGAAAAGTGATTGTGTAATGTTATAGAGATTCGTTTTGCGTGCTATAATTTTTTATTTATTTTTTTGTTTTAAAAAGTATGGGCCCAAAAAATGTTGTGAGAGTAGGAAAGTTTGTTGTGTTATGTTAAAGGATAAAACGAAAACCCTTACTATATATCGTATCATAATTTACGATTCAAAAATTAATTCAAGATATGTATAATTTTCAATTCAAAAAAATTGACAAGTCATTATTAATTAAGGAAAGGAAATAGAAATATTATTTGTGATTTAAATTTAAAATACAAATGGAAATAACTGTTAGTTAGGAAAATAATTAAATAAATATTCAAATTAATACAAATCTCTTCTGTCTTAAAAAATAACATATGTTATCAAAAAAAAAATAATAATAATAACATATACATACAGATCTAAAAACAAAGAGAGAAACTGAAAGATTAGAATACGATTTATATGGTAGTTTATATTTTTTAAATTATTTTTTATTATGATTCTGAATCATACTAGTAAATACCATTTATGATGCATGAAATAAAAAGAAGTCAAACGGTATATGATACACGATGGAACGACATGCAAGTGGAGAATCATAATTATATAAAAGTAGATCAATGATAATAAAAGAAAAAAGAGAAAATATTAATATAAATAGTTACAAAATCATAATTGATTCACCTTTTGATGGTGGTGACTTTCCACGTTACCATGTCATATTTTCTTTCCACGTGAGATGGTTTATTTTGGATACATGGTACGTACTCCCATTCAATAACCTTATTTGTTTTTATAAAAAGTCTTATCATAATAAAAAAAATTAAATTTAGTAAAAAAGATGAATGTATATTTAAAAAACAAAAGGATAAAATTAAATTTATTAAATATCTATACATTTATAATATATGCATAAAAAATAATGTATAAATTTGATATATATTTTTAAATACTCATTCAAGAGGAACTCACTACTCGGTATATACGTGTGTAGAATTAGAATTAATCAAAAAATTTATTGGGACTTGTAAGTAAATAACTTAAATAAGTAATAAATGTGATTGCTCTTAATTGACAGTTATTTCTAAAAAATCTCAAATTGTCAACTAATCAAAAGTTTTTATTAGGATATATATGTAATCAAAGTTAATTTGTAAAGATAATAACGTCCAAATTCAATTGTGTAACATATTGTTCAGAAGATTTTAATATTATTTAAAAGTGTATTTAAAATAAATAATAAAAGATATTTATTGATTTTATTTAAAAGAAGAGTAAATAACCTTTTTGATCCCTAACAAAAAAACATTTTAGTTATTTACAAAAATAAATTAGTCAGTTAGTCTTTAACAAATTTAAAGTGGACTCATTTTAGTCCTTTTGAGGGACTAATATGAGTTTTTTTGAATTTGTGAGGGACTATTATTTCAACTAAATGGGTTCATTTTGAATTTGTTAGAGACTAATTGACTAATTTATTTTTATAAGAGACTAAAATGGAACAATATTTTTTGTTAGAGACGAAAATGGATATTTATTCTTAAAAGAATGGGTAGGTGTAGATAGAGCAGAAATGGTATGACATATTCCCATAAAGTAACATAAGAATGGGAAAGGGGTAACAGAGAGTAGACAAAATAGAAGAGAGAGAATTAGAGTGTGTTCAGTGTGAAAAAAATTGATAAAACAGAGAAAGAGACAGCCAGCCACCACTAACAGTGAAAACAAACAAGCATAAAGAGGTAAATTTTACTATGAGCCTTCAGTCTTTACTCTATAGATTCTGGAGACACACAGGAGGATGTGCTTTTGTTTAATGTTTATATAGAGATTTGTGTCTGTTCAATCGTGTCCCAAGGTTGTTGCTTTTTTTTTTTCTTTTCCTTAATCGTTGTGAAATAATAATTTAATAAGTATTTGGGACAGAAAAAATTGTAGCCATATATTTATAATTTTTTTTATCTCAAAACTATTGCTTTGTTTCATTAGTATCTCTATATATGTTGTGTCTCATACCATCTCTTACTTTTCTCTCCTGTTTGGCAATTGAAGAGAGTAAGATTGGGGTTTATTATCAGGAATTCCCTGGGAGTTTGATGTCTGGGTTTGATTTGGAACTGATTGGAGCTCAGTTGCAGCTCTTTGTTTATGCTTCTGCTCTCTGTATGGTACTTTGCTCACTGTTGAACACAACTGTTTCGATGCGTTTGAGGCCAAAACGGTTCGTGAATTTTGAAATTTTGTACTTATTTTGTTAATGTTTGGAATTGTTTGACAAATTTGATACCTGAATCTAAAATATTTGTGTGATTTTTTGTTTGCAGGACTTTTTCTGGCGTTGTAATTTGTTACGGAAGCTTTCACATAAAAATCTTTTCTAATCTCTTTCTCTTTTTAAGAGTGGATCTGACTTGATACTCTTGAAATTGTGAAGATTTTGTTTCCTTTTTATTTTTAATTTTTTAAAATTTTGTTTTGATACCTTGAAAAGTTAGTTTCTTGGTATTTTGAGGGGTGTTGTGAGTTTTTTTTTTTTTTTTTTTAAACCAAATTTTCACCATGTCGGAGCCTAAGAAACAACCGGCTAGTCAGAATCAGTCTAGAAGATTAAAACACAAGAACAATCGTGAATCCAAATGGACGAGGAAATTGCGCATCATTTATGACGATCCTGATGCTACTGACTCTTCATCAGATGAAGGCGAGAGCTTTGACAAGCTTGGGAAGATGAAGAGAACAGTGCGTGAGCTCACTTTCACTCTTCCCCTACCTTCAGTGAACCCTGTTACTGTCAATGCTGATGAGACTAGCACTGAGAACTCGTTCAACCACGGATTGAACAGGAAGAGTGTTTCAGCCAAAAACCCTTTAATGAATCGGGTTTCAGCCAAAAATCCTTCAATGGAGAGACAATCTTCTGGCAAATACAAAGGCGTTCGAATGAGGAAATGGGGCAAATGGGCTGCAGAGATTCGTGACCCTTTTAAGGGTGAACGTGTCTGGTTGGGCACTTTTAACACTGCAGAAGAGGCTTCCAATGCCTATGAGACCAAAAGGCTTGAAATTGAAGCTATGGCTAAGGCTCTATCTAATGAGAAGAACAAAAACAACAATGTTGTTGTTTCTGCTGAAGCTATGGCTACCCAAGAAAAGAGCAACTACTACTGTGCTTCTTCTGCTGCTGTTTCTGCAACAGACTCCAAGTCTGCTGCATTGGATGACTCAGAGTGTGTCTTGTCCCATGCATCACCTTCTTCTGTGCTCGAACTGGATATCTCAGCTTCCAATTTGATTGAGAGTGGTAAGGTTTCAAGCAGCGAAGCTGTTGAGACCAATGGTTTGGAGGCTGAATTTGCAGAAATGCCAGGTTTTAGTCTGTTGAATGTGCCATCCCCATCTGCTGTCGCTGCTTGTACCCCATCTCGGCTTGAGTTGGATTGTTTGGTGTTTGATGATTTTGGGCAGAGCTATGATGATGATCTTGGTGGCCTAGAGGACATTCAACTTTATGGTTTTGATGACAATGAGCCTAGTGCACTTCCCGATTATGATTTTGATGACTTTGGTGCTGATGAGTATGCTGGTTGGATTGAAGAACCCCTCAATATACCGTGCGTATAAATTTTGCAGCTATACAGGAATGAGTTATCCTAGAGTACTATTACTACATTGCAAGTTTTGTTCTATTGCATGAAAGTTTGTATTTTTCTGTGATATTAGGAACTGCAAACACGTTTTGAGTTGAGTTTTAATTTATTTGTTTCTTGAGATGTAAGTTCAATGAGATGTAAAGAGATAATACCTTTGGTTTTTCTGTGCTGTTAGAGCAGTCCAAGGGTTTGTATTTCTTATTATCAATCAAAGTTCAACGGAGAGTGTAGAATATTATCTATTTTGAATTTTTTTTGTTTTTGTTTTGTATGTGTTGGATAATATGCAGAAGCCATTTTTTTGGTTTCTGTTCAATGGAATGTTTTAGCTTTTTTTTGAAGAAAAAGAGGTTTCTCACTTCTTCAAAATCCCAGTCCAAAGCTGGCTCAAGAGTGAGGGTTGTTTTCTGCCTTTCACAGATGGTGGTAAGAGTTCATTTTTGAGAATAGTATGGGCGAATAAAGTTACAGAAATGAGTAGCATAAATGCGAAAAGTGGGGCCAGAACTTGGTCTCTTTACCAAACAAAGGCTATCATAAACTACAGGCAACAAAAGATGTTGTGTCCAAACGAGGGTGTTATTTTGCAGCTGAGAGCTAGCTGTACACCATTACCCTGCGCAAGTCAGCTACCCACTGTCCTTATTTGCACCACTCATTTAATATCAACCTACTAAAAAATAGCCAATAAAAATGAAAAATAACGTATGAAAAAGAGAAATCAAAAGGAGGGTAAGCAATAATAAATGAATGAAAAGTAACAGAGAATAGTCCTTCCAAAACGGAAGATACAGTAGGATCCGGGATTTTGTTGCGATTTTTCTATTAATGCGTCAGGAAAACGATAAAATACACCAAGGAGACCATTGTGATGTATGTTTACTCGGTTTGGTCAAATGTTAGGTTTAAAGTTTGGCGGAGGATAGTGTAACAAGTAATTAGAGTTATTATTAATTAATTTTATTGGTAGATTGATTATATTGATTGAATGATTATATTTATTTTTATTTTTATATGATTATGATTCTTCATATTTAATATTTTATATTTATTTTTACATTTGTATGATTATGATTAAGGATGTTCTCGGTCTCGATTAGATCGGTTTTAGAAGCAAAAATCATCCGATTCAATTCCTTCGGTTTGAAAATGTAATCATCCATTCAGTTTGAATTTTTTTTTCAAATCTGATCCAATCCAAAAAAATTTCGGTTTGGATTGAATCGATTTTTTTAAAATCCTAAAATTTGTTTCATGATTATTGTGCAAATAACATCTTTTGTATATATTAGCTTTGTAATTATTTTTTTTGAAATACAAAAGCATTAGTAAACGATAATATAATTTTTATTTTTGGGCAATGAGATATGAAGCTCTACACATATGAAATTTTGTTGATGAGATGCCACTAGATTTCTTCTTGAGTTTAGTTGATGGGTTAATAAGTCCTGAGTTTAGAAATTTTTGGGCTATAATGGAGGAAAGACCTAAGTAGGTGGAGGAGAATTAATATATTAGATCAATTTTTATCAACCAATCCGAAAACTGATCCAATCCAATTAAAATTTGTAAATCTTTTTTTCGGTTTTCGATTTTTCGATTTTTCGGTTCAGTCACCGCGATTTAAATCAGTTGATGAACATTCCTAATTATGATTTTTCATATTTAATACTTTCAAATTAAATATGAAAAATAATAACCATACAAAAATGTAAATAAATATAACCGTTAGATCATTGATTGATAATCTTAATTAGTTGTTACAATATCTTATCCCTTAAAGTTTAAACCTCATTCAACTTACAAAAGCTAGTTTTTTTTTTTTTTTTGATAACACAAAAGCTAGTTTTAGTTAGCTCTGTAGATGGAGTTGGGTGGAAAAATACTTTAATTTTAAACATACGGATATACTTAATGGGTATAGCTTACTTGACAACACATGTTGAGTGGAGTAAAAAGAGAACCGAATTTGATTTCTATCATCAAATACATTTTTGAGAGGGACGAGATTAAGAGTTAGTCCCAATAAATTACAATAGTTTGATGTAGGGGTGTTCGGTCTGGATTGGATCAATTTTGAAAACAAAAATCATCTAATCCAATTCTTTCAGTTTTGCCATGTAATCATTTATTTGGTTTGGATTTTTTTTCAAATCCGATTTGATACAATCAAGTTTTTTCGATTTTTTGAAAATTTTAAAATTTGTTTCATGATTATTGTGCAAATAACATTTTTTGTGTATATTGGCTTTGTAAAAAAATATTGAAATACGAAAGGATCAGTAAACGATAACATAGTTTTTTTTTTTGGCAATGAGATATGAAACTCTACAAAGATGAAATTTTGTTGATGAGATGTGATTAGGTTTTTTCTTGGGTTTAGTTGATGGGTTAATGAATTTTGGGTTTAGAAATTTTTGGACTATGATTGGAGAAAAATTCAAGTAGGTAGAGGAGAATTAATATATTGGATCGGTTTGAATTGGATCAGTTTTCATCAATAAATTCAAAAACTGATCCAATCCAATTAAAATTTGCGGTTTTTTTTGGTTTTCTGTTTATTCGGTTATCGATTTTTCAGTTCGATCACCGCGGTTTGGATCGGTTGATGAACACCCTTAGTTTGATGTACGAAAATTAATAATTAAGATTTGATGTATAATTTTTTATGTTTACACTTGGGTAAGAATATCATGTCCCTAATTTTTTTTTTAAGAAAATTCCAATTAAAAATTTCGAAATAATGATAAAAGATATATAAATAAAAATATTTTTAAGCACTTTGATTGCAAGACTCTTAATAAACAAAAATAATTTTTTTTTCAGCATTTTGATTATAAGTTGTTCTAAAAACAAAATTATTTTGGATCCATTTATTAAAAAAGATAAATTATAAAAAAAATGTTTTAAAAACATACTTTTATATAAAATATTCTATTTTTCAATATATTAAAGTAATTTCCCATTCTAATTTAAATGTATAATAATAATATTGTTTATAAAAATACTTTTATAATAATCAAAATTAAATATATTTTTTCAATATTTTTTAACAATAAATGACGCAATATACTTTTTGAAGGTATGTTATTCAGAGAAAAAAATGTCCCATATATCGAAATTAATACGATATCAGTGATCTGTGACCGACAATGTCATTGTCAAAATGATTGTTTATATATGAATTGCTCTAAAGGTTTAAATTAAAATAGATCCAGCTACTCAAGTCAGGTGGCTCATTTGGTAGTATAAGGACTCAGTGGTGGGAGAGAATCTCGGTTGGAATCCCACCTACACCATCTGAGGAGAGACATAAATACCGTAATCTTTGGACTCGCATAATTACGTGGGAGTTATTTTCCAGATCTATGGTAGTGGATGTTGGTGGCAGCATGATAGTTAAAATTTTGATTTATTATCATAATTTTATATTTTTATGATATTTTTTTCATCAAAATAATTTTATAAATATTTCAAACACTTTTATATTCTACGATATTTTATCCGTTTTCATTTTTAGTTAAAATCTTGATTTTAACTATTTTGATGGATGAAAGAGGGACTAAGGTTGCCACGTGACAAAATGTAACTGGTATGTTCTAAATTTCACCCCTCGCTTGCCGATAAATCTTTAGTACAACAATTGTATTTAAGTGGGTACAACTTTTTTTTACTTTTAGAAAAAAATTTAACATTTTTTAAAAAAATTTAAATTTATTTTTCCCGCCATGTTGCACTTTTTTTCAAAAGTGGAAAAAAATTGTACCCACTTGGATACAACTGTTGCACCAAAGATTTATCCCTCGCTTGCTCATATTCCATGACTCTATGCAAATATTAATTAACTTAACAAATAATAATTAGCATGTGATAATTGAGATTGTTAAAATTGATATTCAATTCATTGAATAAAATATTAATTTTATTATCTATAATGCAATTTAATTATTAATTTATTTTTTCCAATTCACCTGACAAATCAACTATTTTATAAAGTTTGAGAATTTTAATTGACGAAATTTTCATTTCATGGATCATAAACTTCAAATTTCCCACTTTTCCAATCTTTTGAAAATAAAAATAGAAAGGTATGATGATTAATCTTCCAAAAAAATTAGAATTATAACATAAGAATCGTAATGTTTCATGAAAATTTCTCGCATTCAAGCCATTGTGAACTATGCACGATATCACACACCCAACATATATAATATCATGATATGATATCAGGTGTTTGAAATATTTGAATTCTTCCTGTGAAAAATGAAAGAAAAAAATCAATTTTAAAATTGCCATTAAAATTGAAGCTTTCGTGTTTATGGGAATAGAATACATTTGACAACTTGAAATTTTTTACAATATTAATTATTATTTAACTCGTTGAGTTTAATATCAATTTACGAAATAATAATAATAATAACGTTACTTATTATCTTAATTATGAAATATTAATTGTTATAGATGATTTTAATTAGAGTTTTATAAAAGTTATGTTGTAGGAAAAATGATTGTGTAATGTTATAGAGATTCGTTTTGTGTGCCATAATTTTCTTTTTTCTTCAAAAAGTGTGGGCTCCACAAAATGTTGTGTGTGTAGAAAAATTTGTTGTGTCATGTTAAATGACAAAGGCAAACTCCTTTTAATTAATATTAAATTGAGTAAAGGAATTATAAGAACGTTAATATTCTAACGCGCTGGTGCTGCTACTAACCCCAATGATACCATGGGTTGGGAAATAATTCCTTTAATTATAGGTAATTATTTTTATTTTTTTTGAAAAACAATAAAAAAGTCAAATCCGACTAAAAGCATATCAAAATTTGATTATTATGATTGTATTTATTCTTCCATTGATTGTGAGGTCAATGAGCATAAAATATATTGTAATTTTGGGTGGCTAAAATAATATTAAGATTTTCAGATAGAAAACTTGAATAATTAAGACAGTTACACCTCTTACGAAGTTTTTTGTAAAAATAAAAAAATATATTGAAAATTTTATAGCCACACATTTCGCTATTTGTAATTGTATGGTTTTTATGTAACACATTGCATATGTATATTTGTTCAATGCCAATTCTTTGGGCTTTAATATTTATGTAATTAGGAAATTTTTAGGAAACAAAAAAAAAATGATATAAGAGAAAATTTGTTATGGGATCCATTTATGAAATGTCTCTCAAGAAGGTGGTACTATTAGTATTACCCGTGTGTATATATATATATATATATATATATATATATATATATATATATATATATATATATATATATATATGGGACAGGATC